GGCGGGAAAGGCGGGTAGCGCTGTGAGCGGGCGCCGGGCCTGCGCGGCTTCGGGGTACGGAGGAGATCCAGGAAGATCCCGGTGCGGGGAGGGGAGCTGGGCCCTGAGCTGGCAAGGAGTGCGATTGATGGGCCCGCGGTGCAGGGCAAGGCGGTGGGCTGTGCCGTCGTGCTGTCTTTGCAAGGAGAACGGGGTCGCGGCCGAGGTTTGGGGTAACGGAGCTCTGCGTTTGCCTCACAGCTGCAGGAGGGCGAGGCCAGGATGGGAGAGGCTGATGGAGAATGTGCCAGCCAGAGAGACACGGGCCTGTCTGCGCTGTGCCGTGCCCGCATTGCTGTAACGAACGTGTGAGTCTGTCTGGTGTGCTGTCAGCATCTGCGTGTTTGGTATCAATGCTGTTCGTATGTTCTTTCTGTATAAATGTTCTTAGAAAAGAGGTATCCGCATTCATAGCCTGAAACAGCTGTCTTGCTCAGCTGTTCTTCTTGGTGTCTCTTTAGAGTTGCGCTCGTTTCTTTCATGTGTTATAAAACTAAACAGAAAGATGCAGGACCTTCAGATGATTATGTTGCATGTAGGGGTTGCACTAAAGGCCACGTCTCAAAGGAACCATCAGTTTCCTTAGTCAAATACAGCCAGACTGCTCACAACACAGCATTTGGGCTGTTCAGTTCTTTAGAAGTTTCTCCATGTATTAATGCCTCATGCAGATCTGTCCCCAATGGTGCATATGACCCTTCTTTACAGACATCTTTGTGGTATCCTGGGTCTCTTTTCCAGTGGCATGCAGTACCTGCAGTGCATAAGTACTACTACAGTATTTCCTGGGCTGCACTTAACTACATTTACAACTACACTGCATTTACTAATTGTTTACTTCACGTGTAAATTACAGCTTTGTTTTTTTAAAAGCCTCTCTTCTGTTGTACAGAATAAGGCTTGGTGGTGTGAACGTGGAGACTGAGTAACTGTACTGGAGCCTGCCCTAGTAGGTCTGTGCTGTTCTTTTGCCAATATTCAGGATTATCTGAAGACTTTTTATGCGAGCTCGAGTTTGTGTCAGATTTAGAACTCAGCTCTGTAGCTTTGGATGACTCAGGGAGAAAGAATTATTTTCAAAACTCATTTTAAAACTACATTTCCAGTATCTTGATGGAAATGCTTGTTTTCTAGGGCGGAAGTGCTGAGATCTTTGGTGGCTTTAACTGACCCTCGGGAAGGGAAGCTGACTCAGTCTCAAGAGAAAGTGAGTGACCAGCAGACTTCCCATGTCTGTTTACTGCGGCTTTTCAGACGAACCTATAATTGTGCAGTTTAACTTAATCTAATAGTAAATGAGAACTCTTTCCCTAATTCACATTTTGGAGAGCTGAACTGAGGTGTATGTTTGCAAACTCTATTTTTGACTGCCCAGCAAGCGGTGGGGTGATCATCAACCGCCTCAGTTCCGCAGGGCTGCCTTCAGGCAGGCGATAGGGTGTTTCAGCCTGTACTGAAACTCAGGTCGCTGTATCTTTTGATTGACCAAATGGCCAGTTCTTGCTGACCCTTGGTTGCACCCTCCCCTTGTTCCCAGTGTGCTCACACAAGCATGGCATGTGCAATTAGTTTTCACAATCCCACTCAATTCATTTCTTAAGCTCGCTCATCATGTGATCGCAACAATCTAGTAATAACATAAAAGCTTAAAGCCAAGGAAGGAGTGGACCTTGTACTTTGTCAGTTTAAAGCTAATGCAAAACTGTAGCCCTGACATGTTAGAGGCTGTTCTGCCACATTCCTTGATCAGCAGCAGTGCCCTTTTTCATAGGTAGAACGTGATTGCAGCTGGATATAAGTTGGCAATAAAGAACTGTAATAGACAAAAGAAAGTGTAAGGGATTAGGATGTGTTTTGATGGATTTATACGGTATGATAAATGCACAGTGTACTTTGGAGAATCACTGCTGTTCTTGGAAGATGTGTGGAGCAGTTATGCTCAAAAAACTTATGCTCATTGTTTAGCAATCGGTCTTGCTGATACCTTTAATGAAATTCATTACTAATTTATAATTACTTTGTATTCTTGTAATGAAGAATACAGGGCTTGTGGATGTCTTTAATATTAACGTGCATTCATTCCATGGTAATGTACTCTGATATTGTAGTAATAATTATCAGGCCTGTCTTTGAGTGATGGCCATATGTTGATTCTCATTGTGCAATTGAATTTTCATGCTTCTTTGTATTGTAGGCATTGAAGTTGCTGAGCATTTGGAAAACCATACATACAGCCATTCCTGGGCCTACATCAAGGACCTCAGTGGAGTGATAGCTCAAAGATGGGAGACCAGGATGATGATAAACCCTTCCTGGGCACTGGGGCTGCCAGTGCTGCAGACTACGAAAGAGCTCAGCCCTCTGACACAGTGTCGCTCAGCGATTCTGATTCTGATGATTTGGGGTTAGCAGATGAAGCAGAAGTTGATACAATATCTCCTGAGGATCCATCTGTAGATGATGGGGATTACAGATCAGGGGGCGCTGCTGACCCATCAGACAACACCGAGAGATCTCCTGTTCAGCCGTTCCATCTGAAGGGCATGAGTTCTACATTCTCTCTCCGCAGCCAGAGTATTTTTGATTGCTTGGAGGAGGCAGCCAAATTGTCTGTGCCCTCAATGTCTGAAGATAATGTTGTTGATGGGAGATTTAAACGTCCCTTACCTCCAACTACCATGTCAAGTAATGTGATACCAGAAAGCCTTGGAAAGCCAACCAGACCAGTGCAGGCTCCCAGAATGTCTCCAGCAGTGCCTGACTATGTGGCACACCCAGAGCGCTGGACCAAATACAGCCTAGATGGGGTGCCAGAGTCTAGTGACAAGACTAACAGGGCAGTGGCCATGGAATTTCTAGAGGGCTTGAAGAAAAGAGGAGAGGAACAAAGCTCAGCTGCTCAAGATAGCTACACCCCATATTTCAACCAGGACCCTTCCAGCTGTGGAGCTGGGAGGATTGTATTCACCAAACCTGCAAAAAGGGGTGTTGATGGACTAGAAAAGAAAATGTTGGCAGGAGAGGGTGATAAGAAACACATCAAAACAGATCTGAAAGGAAAGACTGATGACTTGAGGGAGGAGGATAAGGTAGAGCTGGGACACTTAGGTGGTGGTAGAAAAGCAACAGAGGAGGAGGAGGGATGCCTGATGGTGGAGAACCTGAATACAGAAGGTGAGCATGGTGTGGGTGAAGAGCCATTAGCAGAAAAAGTTGGATTCCATTGCAGCAAGAAGAGAAATAGGAAAAATTTCCGACCTAAAGTAGATGACGAAGGAGAGGAGGAAGAGTCTTAAATGATGGAACAAATCAGAAACATGCAAGAATTGGTATACTCTTGGATTCTGTTGTTATATATGCTTGGTTTTGTTGTTATATATATATATATATTTTTAATCAGGGACCCATGTGATACCATTTTGTTTTACTAACGGTTTGCTTTATAGCCACCCAGACCTCTTTCACTTTTAGAAATTAAGCTACTAAAAATACATTACAGACTTTGTTAGTGAGAACTCTGCAGGCGAAGGATAGTTGCAGTCTCTCAGGAGAGAATATAGCTTGCTTTGTTTGCTTGAGCAGCTCCCTGGGGATTGCTCAAGTCATCATGAGCACCATAGAAAAAGACTGTTAGCTAGAATGCTGCAAGGCATCCTCATTACCCCAGACTTTTCTTAAGTCCTGTAGAATCCAGGAACAACAGTGATGAGATTCTCATGTAGAGTTGTTTAAACATTGAAAATAAAACCAAGTCTTCCACTAGATTTGATTTCTCCTGACCTGTCCTTTTTTTGTTCTGTTTGAGATTGAGAGTACAGCATGAGAGGGCCCAGGTGGGAACTGGCAAACCAACTATTTTTTAATGTAATTTCAAATATTTAACTTACTTACTGTTACATGGAAAAAAAGAGATTAAGAAAATACCATTTTTCTTGCAGATGGGCACAACTTTGCAGAACATTCTAGTAAAGACACACTGAACATTGCTTCAGCCAAGGCTCTTCATGTTGAGTGTAGATCAGTTAACACAACTTCTTTTAGTACTATGATGTGTTGATTTATTTTTTTGCCTGCATATTTGTTTAGCCTTTCTAGATGGCACTACTTCCACGTTTCTTGGTGTACATTTGGTGGGAATCAGGGTGTTTGTAGAACTGGGTGCTTTTTACTTTGGAATTCAATAAACTTTCAGTTGTACTTTGATTTCTGCATCCCTTTGAACTGTACTGATATTAATGCAAACATAGGAGTTCAAACGACTACTCCATTTATTTGAGAACTGTTTAGAACACCTAGAATCTGGAATGTTAGTCTCAGCTTAGCCTCTTGTAACTTTCCTTCAGCTTCTTAAGGTTTGGAATCTAAAATTCACATTTTTAAGATTTTGGTGATTTTACAATACATAGATACATACATAGCCTGATAGACCGAATCAGATCAACAACAAAAATAGCTGTATCAGAAAGGAAGTGGTTGAGAAGAATACAGCAGGTTGCAGATTGCAATATACACCTTATTTCCTAACAAACAACGCAGCTCAGTACAATCATGCTGGTTTTACAACTTACCCTTTGCCTAGAGTGAAGAGCATTTAGCACAGGATCCAAGTTCTGTCACTGTTAATGGTGCTGCTATGGTCAGGGGTGCAGCTGGATAAGCTGGACAATCACTTATTTATGAAGAAGTCAGAAGATTAATTTCTATTAATTAAAGACTCCTGGTGAAAGACATTTTGATCACATCTGAGATTTTTTTTTTTTCCCCCCCAACTCTGTGTTGAGATATCTGGCAATAGAGAGTCTTCTCCCAACCTATCTTTGTTGTGTATGAGCAGTGTAAAATATGAATGAGGAAATTAAGTTCAGTTCAAACGTGGCAGCATGTGACCACAACCCACTGCTTACTTGCCTTTTTTGACACTGTTTACATTGATACAAAGAAAATTCCTGTTACAGGACAGCAGTCATGCTCATTTTATTTGTATATCTCATACAAAATTATAATAAAGCCAGCTAACATTTGTGTGCTAGAAAGGTACATGTCAGTTGCAGTAATGCAAAAAAAATGGCCATCAGTCCAAATTCATAATTTCTAAGAAAATTCTTGCTAAATATTCTTGGTTTTTTTTTTTCCTTTTTTTTCTTTTTTTTTTTTTTCTGAGCTTTGAGAGAAAAACAGAATAAAGTCAGAGAATTGAGAATTGCTTAGATGCAAGGGTGATGTCTTAGAATAGCAGTGTGCTGACAGCAGGTACATGATCTGGCACTGAACTGAAAAAGCAAGCAGCAGAAGCTGGGGGTCTGACTGGAAGGGTCACTTGCTTTGTGTTTGGAAACTGTCTGCATGCCACTGAAGAGTTGAGAACCACGCAGTGAGTTTTTGGGGATGAGTGAGGAGCCTGCATTAATGAACAGCCAGAGAAGAGAGCCAGAAGTGGGAGGAGAAACGGTGAGTGCAATCATTTGAGAGCTACAAGAACTCTAGGAACTGTGTGAATTGTATAAAAGTTGGTATCCCAGGCCCCTTCTTTCCTGTGGAAACTTTCTTCAATTCTTTTCAAAGCAACTCATAAATGCAAGCTCGCTTTTTTGGCATAGGAAGTGGGTTGGTTTTTAGTGAGGAAATGATCGCCCTTTAAAAGGGAAACTCCTTTGGAAAGAACATGAAAATCAGTGATGATGAAGTGTGATTAGAGCATGGAACATTGGGAACAGGCTGTGTAGAAAACAAGGTGGTTGTCATCCTGGACCTAGTGCAGTCTGTGGGGGGAGCAATGGAGAAAAAGGCCAATGGAGGAGCGGTAGGGAAGAAAGCTCAAGAAATCAAACATTAGTATTATTTCTCATAAGGTGTGAAGATAGCACTGAAGACTTCAAGGTTTGGGTCTTGTGCCTTCCTGAGATCAGGATTTTACTTTGATGGTAATTCAGCAGGGCAAAGGGTTCAGTCCAAAGAAATGAGAATGAAATTTAATTATCCATGTAGGTGACGTCAGCCTCAGTTGGATCTGCACGCTCTTCTCTTCCAGCCCTTTCTGGCAAAGGCACTTCAGTGCTGGCATTTCTCAAACCTAGTAGGATTGTAAAAGTTACGTGTTTCTTCAAAGCTTTAGGACAAGGGTTACATAATAGTAATTAGGAAACTTTAAAATGTTGGAAATAACCCATAGTAAAATTACACTGTAGGTGGAAGTACTTCATGTTTGCTCCGTAAATGATAAAAACAGGTTTCTTGGGGTTTTTTTCTTCTTTTTTCCTCAGCTATTTCAGTCTATATAACACAGTATTAAAATCTGAGTAACGTGCTACAGGACAGTTTTTACTGGAATGCTTATAATGAACCAGTGTATTTATGTGCTTTGAAAACTACAAAAATTAAGTCAAATATGAGGTTAATTCGACTCTTGAGAAGCTGGTTATAGCAAACTGTTGTAGGACAGAGCTGCTGTTAGGATCAAATCTGCTTGTTTATCGATAGACTTCAATTTTCACTGACAATTTCTTTCAGTATTTTCAGAATATTATAGCTTGCTGTGCATACTGAGGTGGTATGAAAGAAAATATTTTTCTAAGCTGGCTTTGCTTTGCCTATGTTTAAAATTAGAATAATATGCCTGGTTAAGTATGTTGATGTTTCCTCCCATGGTTGGGAAAATTGCAAATTATTTGTTTCTGGTATATCTGTGGTTTGCTTCAGGAACCTCAGACAGATCTCATTCCCCCTCCACCTTCACTGATGTCAATGCAAATGGACAAAGACAAATTGACATATTTCATGGGATCCAGCACACCTCTGCCTGCAGGAATGCTTTGAGGTCTTGTCATGTCAAGACTTACTTGAGTTTCCAGCTGTTTGTTTCCCTTGTTGTACCCTCATGCTTGGTTTAAGTTTTTGGAGAGATGGGTTTGTGGTTGTTTTTTTGTTCTTGCTGTTGTTGTTTTGGCGATATATAGTAATTAGTAAATATTTGATTGTATTCTTAATTATCTATTTCAAAATATTTATTGAATTGGATATCCTGTACTGGCTGAGATATAGTCTCTTTCTGCCTCTGATCTTTTAAACTCCAAAAAATGGAGTTCTGGGACGTAAGACGAAGTTACCAAATGACAGAAAGAATTGCAGCACCAAAGGCAGATGAACTGAGTTGATTAAAACAAAATGTGATTTTTTTTTTTTAATGGTTATTACTGTGCAAAAGTCAATTTCTTGGTAGTATTGTCTCTCATTGACTCAAAAAAAAAAAAAAAAAAAAAGGGAAAAAAAAAAAGAATCCCAAGAGACAGTCCTTTCAGGAAACCACGTATCCTTAACATCACATGATGTCATTCTAAGCTGCAGTGAACAATAGTCCATTCCCATAACCCCAAGCTTTTAGATACGTTTTGCCAAAGGTGCATGAATATTCTGTTTGCTGTTTGTATTTCCATTACCTGTAGGCGTACTCCTTTGCACTTCCCTCTGTAGTTCCTTTCCAATCTTTTTTGGTTTTGTTGCATTTTTCTGAATGAAATCACCTGGCTGTGTTAATTAGGTTTTCCATGATGGCTTTCAATACTTACATGTGTAGTTTGGATCTGTCTGCTTGCAGAAGAGGTTGGTTTTGGTTAAAACATCTGCCATCGAGGAGATAACAGCTGTACAGTAGCAAATCTATAGAACAGGCAGTGATTTCTGCATCAGTTTTTCTTTTTGTAGTATTGCATCCAATCTTAAATTTACAGGAAAGACTGTAGGTAGCAACTGGAAGCAGTGTCAGAATTATCATACTCAACTTTGTTCAAAATAGTTGAACTGACTTGGAGGAAGATCAGTGTTGAATGTCTTCCTTATTTTCTGAGTATATTGCATTATCTCATTCTGGCACAACCTTATTAAAGCATTTATTGTCTATTCCTGTTGAACCTGTATTTGGTTTCAATTTTGTTTATTGAATAGAGTTGCTTTTTCCAGGAAGCCATAAAAGTGATAAGAAATGGGGGAGAAACTGCAATGGGAGCATTAAGGCAAGCAACTTTCGACTAGGCCAAAATTGCATTGGAGAATTCTGGGAACAAAGAAAACAATAACAGTTTTATATGTAGCACACAGTAATGCTCAGCGTTTTCAAACTGTTTAACAAACATTTATTTATGTTCTAAGGGTTTGCCATCAAAAGCTTGAGATAGAGTTTCCTTCTATTATTCTTGTTGAGCATTTATGTGTTAATGCTTCCCTTTGAGAAGCTTGTACGCAAGAAAACTTGAAAACCGATGTCCAATATTAGTCTCTGTCAAATAAGACAGACTATGGGTGTTTTCATTGTTGTCACTTTTAAAGTAAGAAAGGTTGGGTGAAGAAAGGGGAAGGAGTGTGGAGGATTTGCATCCAGAGGCAGCCTGAGGGGAAGAAGTGGGCACTTCTGAAGTATGCCAGCAAAAAGAGCGAGAAACTGTGTTCCCCTTTCTATGGGAGGTTAGAAAAGTTTCTTTATATCGTTGTAATTACAGATAAAATAAGGAAAGTGAAGTCATTATACAGATTATTCCTTTTATCCCTACAGAGTGAATACCAAACACTGTCAAAGACCGGCATCAGTGATAAAAAATGGGCCAAGCCACACACACAAAAAAGAAAGAAACAGTGAGATCCTAATGTTGATATGATGTTGATATGACTTACCTGGGATTCTATAACTTTAAGCCTCTTTTCTTGCTCCTTCAATCCACTGAGGTATTTAGACAAATTATCCACCCTGTGGAAACAAAAATGATGTGCTGCTGAGCGAAAAAGAAATGCCTCCGATTAAATACTAAACCACAGATAATGAGTAACTTACACTTTATCTGTGACCCCCTGCTTGCAGTTCTGTGCTGCTGGGACAGCCCAGAGCCCCCTAGAAGTTTTGCCCTTTTGAAGGGTTGCTGTAAGTATTTACTGAACAGAGCAGCACAAACCTCCCGTACTCGCTGCCCAAGGGCTCTTTGTGAACTTGCCTAGATGACAGTGATCATACAGCTTGTGGTTAAGGCTGCTTAGCTGTATCTTTCCAATCCATTATGTCTCATCTATTTCAAAAGTAAATTGATCCTACCATGAAAATTAAGACCATGATATATATTCCATTAATACAGGGCTATGAGCCATTTGATTTCTTCAAGGTTTCATCTTCAGAAACTGATTTGGTGTATAAATCTCTAGAGGGACTATGTGTATAAATCTCTGAAGTGTGGAGAACTTGAAAATGATACCTCCAAATCGAGCTGTCCACACATCTTCTACATGCTTTACCTCTTCTTCCATCCCATCTTTACTCCTCTCATCTGATTCCCCATAAGCTCCCCAAATGCAGAGTTCAGTGAATGGCTTTCTGAAGGTTGTGTAAGATTTCAAATAAACAGGCAGGTTTGCTAGCAGCTAAGACCAGCAATAAGAAACCACAGTCTCAGTGGTAGTCATCTGAACTTGTCTGATCTCTTCCTGGCTCTGCTACATCTGATATTATGCCCATTATTTAGGAGCAATTACACACGTTTGTGTGTAACAAACCATTATTGTTTGATTTCAACAACGTAATAATTCTAAATTATTAAGAATAAAGAGCCTGTTAAATTACAGGGAGAGGAGTAGTTTCCAAGAACACGTATCTCTTTGTCATTGTTATTTAAAGAAGTGAACTTCTGAATAGTAATTTTGCACTTTTATTTGTCAGAATACTGTACCAATTTAAGTGATACTCCCATTGGGATGATATTTTAGAGAATATTAAAACGGAGACCCAGTTACTTAAATTAAATTTGAGACCTGATACCAGGAATTTCTTGTGCAAAATTGTAGTGTTATGTCCTAATGCCATTAGTAGTAGTTCTTCTGTACCTATGGGCTGGGGATAATTCCAGAGATCACAAATCTTCATTCAAAAGTCTAAATCTCTTTCTGTTTTGGAAAGGGCAATTTCATTGGATTTTGATCAATGCTTTGTGTCCAGGTATGTTATGTTCCTATAGAGGATGGAAGTACATGCTCTGCAGTGTAACAACAGAACTATTCTTCCATCATTCCATTCATTTCTTCATGAATTTGAGCTTAACTGCAAGTTTGGCTGGAGCTTACAGGTTTGTAATTGTACATACTTCAACAATGTCAAGAAATATCTCAAAGCAACACTTGTTCATGAAAAACATTCCATGAAGAACATCAATCCCATTAGACTCTTCATATAAACCGTACAAGTGCCTGAGCCTTATCTCATGCAAATCTGAAGACCTGCAAGGTTCACTTAATGTAGGTCAGAGTAACATACTTATTAGATGTGGCCTTCAGCCTTTCTTCACCACTTTCTTTTCTTTCTTGTTCAAGTTTTATTAGATAATTTTCTTTTTGCACCAGCTCCCATGTTATGATTTTTTGATCTAGGCCTACTGGAAGATCTCTTTCTGTAGGGGGGAAAAAAAAGATACTAAATATTATATGTTGCTCCCTTTTCTCCTGCACTGGTTTAAGTAATGAAAGGCTGCTATGCAAAGAAACCTCAGGCCTTGCTTTGCCACTGTAGGAGTGACAAGCTATGAAAGTTTAGTGTAAAATAAGTATTTTCTACACTTTTTATTTTCTTGTAATGCAAGGCAGTAGACTTACTGCAGTTGAATAAGAGTCCTGAGTTTTCTAAAGAACAGCACAGGCCAATTTCAGTGATTCCTGAATAATTCATTCAGAGTATCACTTGTTATCTCTTCAGAAATCAAGTGTGTTTAGGCAGTTTGATATCAACACCTTTGTCGTAATAACGATGTTGTGTAGAGAAATGCACTGTGGGAAATTGTTTATAGTACAGACTGTGTCATCATTTTTCATGTCTGCTCTCCTTTTTGTTAAATACAATAAATTACAGCTCTTAGCTTGTGGAGATCTTACTTTCTCTTCTGTGTTGCTTATGCAGCATATCCTTGCAGAGTATTGGGGTCTCCTGTTGGCAGATATGTGTTAACAGCTGTAGCATAAATGCTAGATCACAGTTTGAAGCAGTGATTGAGCACCTGGTGGGAAGACAGGGCCAACCCAGGGAAGCTCAGGTGTATGTAGTGTACCTGAGTGACCAGAAGGGGTGGAGCCAGGATCTGCCCCTTCACAGACTTCATTTTAAGGTTGGCAGTGGAGGTGATGGCCTCTCTTGCTGGAGATCCCTGACTACCTGAGGGCATCTAAAGGTAAACAAATTCTTCCCTTTATTTCTGTGCTTACAGCTGTTGCATTTGAGCCAGTCTTCACTTGTTGTAGCTTAGGTCTTTGCTACTCCCCTATCGTTCCTGTGCTTTCCATCACGTTATAGCATTAAGCTAGCTTACCCAGATGTTGCTTCTTGTGTTCCATTTTGTTGAAGATTATTTGAAGAACCAAAGTTATGTGATTAATAATGATAAATGGTGGTGCTAAGGCAGGCCGCCCGTGGTATTCAACGATCAGGTTGTAGCGTTGTAGTTTCCAGAAGATATCTGCGTTGCCCTGAACAACTTGAAAAGTGTAGCTGTCATTGGGAAAAATAAAAATAAAAAAAATTGCAGAACTAGTTTTACCTCAGTAAGCTAAAGCTTGTTATTACAAATATAGCCCATGTGTACTTTAATAAAAGGAACAGCAAGTTCAGTAAGCAGCGTTTACTTAACCTAAAGTTTGTGTGGGTTTTTAACTATTAAAAAAACTGCAGTTGCGACTTCAAATGATAAGGAAATAATCAAGAAAAACTATCTCTTAAAAAGAAAAAAGGCAATTCAACTTCAGCAAGATTGGCAAACACGTGATGTTACTTCTTCAACCAAATGAATAATCATTAACATTTTTGACTTGATGTGTTTCTCCAGCATGCAGAGTATCCAGCATCTGCCAAGTTTACAGCTGCTCTGTACCTGCAGACTCTTGCTGCAGCATAGCTAGAGATCCAGGCACATTTAATTGATTATTTGACTGTAAAAGGTCCTTTTTTGTTCTTGCTTTTAATGTAGCTAGAGTGAGGACGATGAGAACTTAAGAACTATATGATCCTGAAAGTCTAGTTATCAACCCCTAAATAATTAGTTGGGAAAGCTACTAGTGTGTTTCAGTATAGCTAACCAACAGCAGTGTAGTAAATGTGGGCATTTGGTTAAGCTCTTACCTTCTCTGTCTTAATACTTACTGAAGCTGCTCTTACCTGAACATGGCAATCAGGAGATTCATAAGGAGAACATTTGTGACTAGTAGGAAGATGACCAACAGAAGTATGACAAGCCAGTTGGCATAGTTGTTGGGACATGATGGTGAGTTCTGCAGAATCTGCAGTGGATTAAATGTACAGTTCCTGGGATATACTCGTGAGGCTATGAAGGAAGAGAGAGAAATAATGTAGTTTTGACAAATTTCTCTTGCTTGTATTTCTTAGCCTGGAGACAAAAGCTTTGCATTTTGCTGAGCAAAATATCTTGCCTTCAACCGAGAATGTCAAGAATTGCAAATTTTCTGGTTTGAGGTGCTGCATTTTACAGACTTTTCAAGGAAAAAAGGAAACTGAGTACCTTTAAGTATGCCTTCTCATAAGAACTCATGACGAGAATGATTGCGTATGTTTAATACCTTTTTCTGGTAAGGTATAAATCAAGGATGATGTTGAGATCTCATCTGCATGTGAACAGTAGCATAATTTTCTTTTGAATATATGTAATTATTAGAGATTAAGACAAACGTTGTGGTAGTATGTAACTTTTGTACTGTCTCAGTTTTTGACTAGCAAGTGGAGCTGTAAATACGAGGCAAACAGGCCAGCTTTCTGGCTGGTTGAATTACTGAGTTAATTCTTGCAATCATGCAATCCTTTACGTGAACTAATATCCCATGTTGCAGGTTTTGTAAAAAGGCACAGTGATGCACATCACTGCATCAGTTGTGGACCCCTATGTCCTTGCATCTCCTCAATCCTCATGCTAGTATGCATGCTAGAGGAGAGTACTTGGTAGAAGCAGGCAATGGTGTTCCTCACTCAAATTTAGACTGTTGCTTTGTACATCAGAGCTTGCAGTCAAGGTTAGGAAGAACAGTGCTATTGTATCAGTTTATAGGTATAGCTAACCTTTCATCCTGCCTCCAGTTATAGCAGCAGCAAGTTCTTAGACTAACGTACAGGAAAAACATGGAGTGGCATTGTTTGGGTATCTTCTCCACTGGAGCATGTGGCTGAGCAACGTGCCCAGGCAGGTTATTTGTATTTAATAATGATATTGAGGGATTCCTCGATGAATTTGTCCAGCTGATTTCTGAGTCTGTGTACGTTTCTAGCATTCAAAGCATCACAAAGCAATGAAGCAGCTCACCTTTAGTTATGTGTGTGAAAAAACACCACCTCTGTCTGTTTGGAAATCCTTTGCTACTTACTGAGGAAAAGGTAACTATTTTCTATTGTTTATATTAATGTTAGTCATCCAAATCTTCCTACACTGGGATGCAGATCAGAAGTAGTTTAACTGGTTGTTTACTTTTCGTTGTTGTTCAATTGTTTTTCTGGAAGTTATATCATGTAATTATTTAAATCCACAAATTCAAAGCACTTATATTTACATTTTTGTTCTCCATTTTTTTTTTCCCCCCCACTAATAATGCCTTTCCCCATGACAATGGATAAACTCACAATCTTACCCTTTAGTACAGTTATCTCACAGGCTGCCATAGCTGTCACCAAGCACATTAACTTAAGTTATCCATACTGAATTTCTTTTGGTGTCTCTTCACTCATGAGGTCATTTTGCAACTTTTAGGTGTTGCCTTCAGTTTTTACTACCCAGTAATTTTTTTCATCTGCAAACGCTACCTTTTTTCTTTGGAGTTCCAGTGGAGAGATGCAGACTTTATACTGTGTTTTACCTGTTCTCATGTTTATATCCAAATATTTGCCTGTCGTGATTGTTTTTATGTTGTCTTGTTTGAAATATTGCACAAATGCAATTACTAGCTTTATTTGATTTGGGCAGATTTAACTACGAAGTAAACAAATGCCCGACCAGAATATTTATTCAAAAATACAAGTGTTTCGTTATGGGCCAAGCTGTACTGCTGTAAAACTGTCATGTTAAACCAGTGCCAAAAGTATGGAGATGTTGTTATTTTGCTTTACATGAAGGTTATGTGGGTCTAGATTAGGCTGGATGGAAGCGGATTGAGGCAGAAGAAGGTATGCCAACCTCTAAAACTGCAAGTCCTTGTGAGAATACTTTAGGCAGCCTCTCTAAATAGGGCAAACTGTCATGTTTGATGTAATTCCACCCTGTACATTATCTCATTTTGCAAATTCACTACTTATATCATAGCCACGTGAAGGCTTTGGTTTTCAGGACAATTTTTTTTTTTTAATTGTTATTTATTGAAAAAACTGAACAACAAATACTGGGAAGAAGGCATTCAAAGATGGCAAGGTTAGGGGAGAAAGAAATTTCCTTACTGTCTATTTCATCCAGTGGGATCTGGCCAAATATCTGGAGGTAGGGACGGTAAAGCACCCTTCTGAATATCCACTCCACTCGGCTGTCATCAGGGTGAAGCAGAGCTTGAGTTGTCACACCATAGGCAATGAGCCACACACTCAAGAAGAATAGGAAGAAGAAAACATCTTTCATCTAAAAGAGGGAAAGGAAGGAAGAAAAGGAGGGCAGGTGATTGTAGCAGCATGTTCGAAGAAAGAACAGTAGTTCAGTATGATAACTGTTCAAATAATTGTTTTTCTTTGTAAGCTTGTTTAGGCTAAAGGAGGTTGAATCTGATGGAGTTTCTCACACAATTCCCTTCCTGACCCTGCTGTTAAAATGTGGCTCTTGGCCAATCAGCAGCATTTTTCTTTGTTAGTTCATTCAGATAAAGGCATGTTATAATTTAAAGTTTTTGCTTTTCAATCATGTAACATTTATTTTTTAAACATCTTCTCCTTTAAATGATTGCCTTTTAAATGGAGGTTTTCTATGAGATCTTGCAGTACCGTTGAATTACAAAAGTCTGCTGCAGCAAATCCTGGCTAACAGTGCTCATTGATAAACTCTGAACCATTGGTACAGCAAACATTGGAGATCAGAAGGATCAGGTATCAAAGTAATGCATTTGAGGGATTCTTTCCAAGGCTTCCTGCTTTTAAACATTGTGCTTCTCTACAGAAGCACATAATTGAATCCTAAGACACTTACTTAAAAAAAAAATAAAAATTGAATATGTATTTCAAGTGCAATAATTTTTCCCTAGTGGAAGAAGAACACTTCATCCTCTTTCCATCTAATCTGACAGAGTTCATTATGGGCTGTAGATTCATTTCAATTAGATTACAGGATTGCACAGTTTCCCAAATGCAGAGGTATTTCAGACCTTCAGAAGGTAACTATAAGTCCCGTTAAGAAATGCAGTATCTGTGGCAAGCAAGACATGGTTGATGTCTCTAACTTTTATCAAACTGGTTTGTTTTCTGGATGATTCCAGATTTGTCAGTGCTACAGGCCTTTAACAACATCGTAACTCAGTGAAAGCAGTGGTTTGTTTGGGAATACTCTTTTCCAGTCTGTGGTCTCTCTAAGCTGGCACTGTTCTGGCATCAAACTACCATTGTAACAGACTTGTTTCAGCAATTCAGTTGGGGGTAAAAAGGAGAAAGACAGTAAAACACAATCTTGGTTTTCTTCCCTATTTAAGAGAAGTGATCTTGCTTTAGCCAACCTGATGAATGTTTCAGGGAGATACTGTTTACTGAACTAAATTTCACTGTTCTTTTGTTTGATACAAGGCTCAATATTGAGCTACCAAAGGTAAGGCATTGCGGTGGCTTGAATATGGGGAAGATGAAAGCTCCCATGTTATGGCTTTGTCTAGGCTGCCACTTATTTTCTTTTGTGTATATTCTTAATCCGTGTTACTTCATATGAACTCAGATGCTAACGTAGTAGATGCATCACCATATTTGTTCAGGGCCGTGGTTTAGCTTGGTATGCAGCCAGGAAGGGTTAGGAGCTGTAGATCTGCCTTCTTCTCTTACTTTAAACTCTGCTAATGTGGTGAACTAGATAATGTACGAGAGCAAATATTTATTTGCCATTTACCCTTTTGCTACTCAAAGCAAATGTCATGCTGGAGTTCCCGTTATTGCATCTGTAGACAGATCCAAATAGCTTGGCAGTTATGTTTATTCAACGTATAGGCTTGTTTAGACTGTAGGGCTTTTACTGAGCTCTGCTGTGAGTCACAAGTCAAATGTTTGTAGAATCTGTAATAGCATTTACTATTAGATAAACTATTAATCAGTTATCATGAGCTAATTGGCCTGGAGGATTAACATACTGAAATAAAAAGCTGTTTCAGCGTACTGCCCCACACCCAAGTACAAAAACCATAGTCCTACCGTCTCATTTCCTGCAGGAGAGCTGAAATAAATAGAAATATTTCATCTGCATCTTCCAGCGCATGCTCACAAGGTGCTATGTTTTCATTGTAAATTAGACAGTCCAATTAAGAGCAGTGCTCATGGCAAACTTGCTACTATCCATTTTTACAGATTTTTCTTCACACTACTTGCGAATAATGTAATCCATTTCCCCAGGCAAAGAACTGCCAGTCAGTAGCTGCCCTTCTGTAAATGGCCTGTCTGAAGTCTTTGCGCTGAATGCACACAGCTTATGAAACAGTCTGTGTCTCTCAAATCAGGAGTGCAGTGTCTCAGTACTCCTGACTTGATAGACCAAAGGGCAAACGATTAGATAAGAATGAGGATTTGTGTACTAGGGCCAACCTAATAAACTACAGAGCTTTCAGAAGGATCTGTTTCAAACTCACTGCCTCTAATTTTCATGGTAAGTAAGGCAAATTTTGCATTGTATGCAAAGTTACAGACCTTAAAAACAAAGACACATTATAAACTTACTTCCTTTGTAAGAAGATTGTTTTGGCCACAGTTTTTTTTTAGCAAATACAAGTATTTGAGAGAGACTGCACTTACCATCCTCTCCACAATTATGATCTTTGGTCCAAGCTGTCTGTGAATTGCAAAAATGTGTATAAGTCTAAGTGTAAACACCATAAAATCAATGGCGAGGATTGTGCGGCCAGCTTGAAAAGTCGAGTTGAGCATCCTGAAGAACAAGTGAAAGAATATCAGATCTCAGCAAGTACTACTGAGAAATCTGTTCTCAAATATTGCACTCAGTCTCCAGGCATTGTCGAGTTAGGAAAAGGCAAGTGCTTCAGGCTTGTGGTTGCTGATGTCAAGGTCATTACAGCTGTCAGAAGAACATAACATTATCTGTACTTTGGTGAGAAATGACCACAACACAGAGGGAGGCTGATTTGCTTGGCTCGCCTTCAAGGCGATACTAAGGGATAAACAAGGAAAAGGATTATTTTGACTAAAGGGGCTTGCAAAAAAAGGAAAAGCAGAGCTGCTTTGCACAAGTGTTTGGATATTCCAATAAGCTTTCTGTGGTCTGTGGAACAACATCTGCAGTTCAATAGAAATGTAGAGGCTCTTGTTGCAGAAATGTAGCTCAAAACTCATAAATGTCGTAGCCTGCCTTCTTATGCACATGTATGCCAAGTGACAGGACTGTCATGGCATGTGCTTGTAGCCCTAATGCTGACCATGCAAAACAGGTGTATACATACCTGCAGGTTACCCCAATTATGAAAAGGAAGATGGTCACCATGTCACACTTATTCCAGTTATCCTCTACGTATAGTTTAAACTTTTTCATCAGATTTGTGTCTTCATCTGTAAAGAAACTCTGAAAAAGAGAAATGGTCATTGGCAGTGAACTGTTTGAAGTTTCACCATTTCAGTGGAAACTTTGACTTAATACCTGTTTCACATTTCTCTTTCACTGCAAAAACACATCAAAAAATTCCTAGTGTAGCATGTAAACAAGCTCAGTTTACTGTCTTAAATCACACACACATACATATGCACACACACTTTTTAATCTTGCGATGTAGGCCTAAGGATTTTTTAAGCCTGATTTGAGTCTATCAGCATTCAGGCCATTAAAAAATATAACAAATATCTAGAAAATAAATGTTGACAGGATGTTGCTATCGAAACAGCATGTACAGATTGGTGTTTGTACATTATGATTGCCTGGGAGTGCACATTTGATTATCTACATGAGGAGCTGTCTCAGCTGGATTGTAGCCTGGCATTCTCCATATTTTACAGGTTTATAATGTAATATTCTTTGTTTCAAATATTCTTGGTGTACTCTTCTGTTTATGGCCTGTCTGAATAATTTCAAATAACGTATAACCGAGATCCCCTTTGCTGTTCATGTTGCTGAAATTACAAACACCTTCTTCTGGAATAAGTGTTGATAACTGTTTTTCAGGGTAAAGAGGATAACAAGGATAGTTTTATGCAGGCACAATTCTCAGTGCACCAGCGCCGTTGTTCATGTGCTGTTTTGGTGGACTGAGGAGAGCTCTGTTGTACTTCCGTGGGCAGACTATAATTTCCAATGTATGTTAATTGTGGACCTAGTTCTGGGAGGGTGAAACCAGCCAGATGCTTTGCAAAGTGAAGGACACCTGAGTCTTAGCAGCCCAGTTCTTTATTGGCTGCAGCTGAAGTGCTCTGGAAAAACAGGAGTAGCTACAGGTTTACATGGAGGAGGAAGAGGTTGGTTTGGAGGAGAGATTGATTTGGATGAGGTAACGTTTGTATTGCTTTTCTATGCAAAGCTGCATTTGACAGTTGAAATCTTCAAGCTTGCATGGTTATACAGATCATAAAATTATTCAAAGCATTATTTCAAGGTTTGTTGTATTACTGCTGAGATGTTGTATGCAACTGACCTGTCGGATTTCTTCCAAGACCAGGGTAAAAACCCAGAAGTAAAGTATAATTTCTTTAGCAGATGGACCTTCAGGTGGAGGTGGCTTAAAATCCAGTAGAAGGACATAAGTGAACAGAAACAGAAAAGCAAAATACATAATAACATTTCCCATAAATACAGTTACGGGGGCACTCCAGAATTTTTTCCACCGAGTAAAGATGAATGTTGCCCACGCTGTGTTTTCAGGAGGGTTCTGCTTTTCTAATTTACCACTTCTTCTGCAAAACAGAAAGAACATAGGCTTGATTGACGACCTCTTAAAATTAGTTCATGGGAATAGCCTCAGTATTATTCTCTGCAAATTGCATTAATTTGATTTGCAGCTTCAGTCTGCTCCTACACATAGTACAAACCATGTGAATAAACAAGAAGAGGGGGTATTTGGCCAGCTGCAAGGAAGGCAAATAGCTACTGTAAGTCAGTTCTTATTTTGGTCCTAAAATTTATTGCAGTGATCACAGGCAGAAGTTCTTGCAGTTGCTGTGACTGCTTGAGACAATTACTCGTTTTGACCTAGACTCAAAAGTGCTGAATCACACACTAAGCATGTGTTCCCTGACTAGCCTTGCTGCAGCCTGAGAGAGCTACTGAAGGAATACTGCAGTTGATGTAGCTATGGACGCTGGCCTCTTGCCCTTCATGACTAAATCAGATTGGAAAAAGATCACCAGGGAGGCCTCTTAATAAATGATTAATTACGGTAGTCTTGGAGTATTGTGCAATTGCACAAGTGTTTTGGTAACTGAAGGAAAACTTGACCTGTAGATCTACATGTCTAATGTTCCTGGTAATTATTATATGCATTTATTATAAGGAAAAGTTTCTCCTTGCAGCCAGTCTCCTCTGTGTGCCTGACTCTGTGCTGCCTCTCAGTTTATGACATTGTAAGGCACATTCCCATGGCAACGGGCTAATATCATAAATGGCTAATTGCAGCTTTACTGTTAGATGCTGAAATAGATCTGGGAGGGAGAGAGAGCCCTTTTGTTAAATCTGTAAGATAATAGCAATTGGAACACACAATATTATGACCAAGAGCCATCAACCATTCTTTGCTCAGTTGTGAAAGAACTTTATGATATTATTTGCTAATAGTCCCCAAAAGGCATACACTTCTGCATCTATTTTACAAGTTAGAGAGGGAATGAAGACTCGATTTTTTTTCTGATATGCCAGCAGTTAAATGCCAGTGCTAAAAATACAAGCTAATAACTGACTGAGTCCAGCACTAGGTACTGTGGATTGTTTCCTTGGTACCATTATTCACGCATTTCTGAAGCTCTCTTCAAATCACTGAAAAGTAAATGTTTGATACAAGTGACTATACAGCTCTTATTAGCTGCAAAGTGAACTTTGTACTAATCAAAAGTTTTCCTGCCTCACCCGAGTCCCCAGGTTTTGGTGATGAGCGTTTGCTAGAAGTGAAGGTTGCAATTAAGGAGCTCTGTACTGTGGATCTGTGAATGATTGTGTGCAACTGCCAAAATCTTTTTGCTTTGATCTTTTATGCTGCCTCTGAAACGTCTGTTATGCTCCAGGTCTCTCAGGCCTATTTTTAAAAATAAAAATGGAGAGTTTTCCTAGCATGGTGGGAAGCTAGCTATATAAATTCATAGGTACTGATGTTTGCAAGTATTTCTGTTGCTGCCATTGTAGCACAGTATGTGGTAATGCACTCGAGTAATACAAGGGTTAGCTGCAAACCCTCTGCCTGGTTGGGTGAATAAGTCTATCACGGATTACTGTTCCTAAATCCATTGTGTGTCAGCCAGTGCCAGCTGAAGGGAATCTCAGGAATGCCTTCTGATTGCTGGATATTGATCAGATTCCTTGTCCAGTAGAAATGACCAGCTCACAAGAAGTTATCTCCTGAAATACAGTGCTCTATGCTGTATCTCTGTTTATCTTCTATATTCATTTTATGGAGTACAGCTGCAGCAAACAGGGAGCTTTCTAATGAGTAATAAGTTCCTTGATCTTTCAGTTGTTTCTTACATCATTATCTGGTTGTATATGCATGAGAATTGACCTGTTCTTTGTAGTCAAAAACATCATGTTAACTGATGGTTTAAATTTACCTGTGTTCTTCCTTACAAAGAAACAAAGTCCTTTCTGTATCCAAACTGTCCAGCTCCTTAAAGGGCTCTGTCTCATTCTTTGGTTGTTTTTCCTCACTGTAAGGAAATAAACTCATTAGTTGAAATACTGGTTAGCGATTCAACTACTGAACTGGTTTTCCTACAGAGCTGTGAGCATGCACTCATCTTGGACTCTCTCCACTGAGAAGCTATCAAATACACATAATCCTTAGCTCTGTGTGTTCTGATTATTTGAAAGCTGAAGTCAGACACAAGAGTCAATGGTGAAATGATAATCAACACATGTTTCACAAGAGTGGAGCAAGATGCTCAGTCTTCTCAAAACTGAAAGGAAAGCATTTGAGTGGAAATAGACCACTCAGTCAGTACTGGAAGACGATTCCACAATACCCCCATGTTCCAGTCCTGGCCATTCTTAGTAGTGCTTAATACAGGAAATGCCAAAAGCATTAGGGAACATGATGTCAATTCTTGCATTTCTAGTAAAAGGAGGCAAAAACGTCCTCAAGAAGAGATTTAGAAAGGCTTGCTTTGATCAGGAATCCTTATTTGAACCCTTCCATGAAAACAGATAACGCTTCACATTAATTTACTTAAATTTGTGAATCTGGCAGCCAGTCTACCAAGAAGAAACCATCTTTAGTGACTGATACTGACAAAATAGAAGTCTTAGGTCAGCAATGGCAAAGAAATTTTCCTCTTGCTTTGTAAGTAGCTAGTAGTGGTGCAGTCCTCTTGTTGATCTTCTGAGACAATATTATTATTTTTATTCCTTACGTGAGAAATTTTCAGTTTGGGTATTTTTCATGACTTACTTTATGTCCTTCACTTATCTTTTGCACTCATATATTTGTACCTGAATGCTATTAAATTTGTGTAGATTAGGAAGGGACACCAGAATCCACATATTAGCTTCAGGATCTGTGTGTTTGTAGACATGTCTCCCCACCATATTTTTGTTAGGAAGGCCTGAAATTGAAGGGAAGAAGTAGCTTTAGCATCACAAAAACATATATGCAGATCAAGTGCTCCTATGTTCTGTGTTCTCCTAAGGCAGCAAAGATTAGGCATTGCTCAAAAAACCTAAAAAGTATACAGACACTTTGCGTGTCATTCTGCAGTTGTTTCTTAGTATACAAAGAGTTATGAGGACAGTGGAAAGGAACTGTAATTCAAGTGGAGTTGAGGAACATTGCTACTGAGGAAGTACAAGTCAGCTACTGGGAGCTAAAAGCATCATCACTCTTAATTTAGTTTTGTGTATGTGGACAGAAGGCAGGTTGTGGGAGCAAAACAGGACAGCAATTTGATTTAACTTTTATCAGTGAGCTTCTCTGAATCTGAACAAGCTCTACTGGGGAGGTACCTCATGTCCTTAGGAGTCATCATGCTTCAGGCGGATTTTGAGTGCTTTCCTTATGGTTCTCTGTGATCAATAGAGGAAAAAGTATGGGATGGGATGAGGATTAAACCTTCTCTTTAGTCCACCTGTCTCGGGGCTAACTGGATGGAAGAGGAAACTTGCTTTTTCAAGTATGTAGCATGGCATCCTCTTGACCTGGTGCTTAGGGAGAGGGCAGATCTTTCACGGTAAAGGATGTATCTGAGAATAATGTATTCCATGGGGTCATTTGGTTGCTGTAGTATCCTTTTCTGTGTCCAGCAGCATGCTGAGAGGCCCTAGGGAGTGGAGATGGTAAGGGAAGTGCCAGTAGGTGTTACCTGGACTCCATCATGTGCGAAGAAAGACTTTGCATCTGCTTCTGTAGCCAGGTGCAGGCAGGTGGTTTTGCTCCAGTACTGACTTTTCCTCACCAACAGAGAAAATGCTCTCTCCTCACTGTTGCTGTAGCATTCACTGAATAGCTCTGTCAAATGAAAGAATTGTAGACAAATGCATCTTGCAAAAAAAAAAAACAACAAATGTGAGACAAGAGGGTGATGTGTGTAGGGTACAACTTGGTCACACTGCCAAATGCATCCTCTGCACTGAAGAGTTCTGTGAGGCTGTAATAGTCACAAAGCCCCACATAGCTAAGATGAGGTTGGTAGGAGTAAGGACTAATTCTGGTTGTGAGAATAATGCTACAGAAGGCATATGCAGTAGATTTGCATTGGTAGGGGGGAAAAAAGAGATCACTGGAATTATTGTAATCTTGAAATTCCCACTACTTTCTGGGAGGTATGATGCAAATCTCAGCATCTCCCTCTCGCCTCTTTTCATCTGCTTGCTTCCTTCTCAGCTCTGAGGTGCTCTACTTCTGTTACTGTTTGATTTCTCCCTGTGGAGAAGTTCTTCTACAGCCAGTTCTCAAGACATACCTTGGAAACCTATCAGTGTACATTATATAGTTCCTCATCTGTAGCTGCCTTGTGCAGAGATTTAGACAGTACTGAGCAAAAGCAAGTACCGTGGGAGATCTTTTAGCACTTTGAAGGACGACTTGCCACACTGCTCCTTTTCCCCTGAGTACACTAAACAAAAGGAGCAGCTCAGGTTTGACTTGTAGCCAACAGATGCTTTAAAACATAGATATTTGACATAAAATAGTATTAGACTTGGTAGTATGTTGTGGTGTAGATCTATTTCAAGATAAGTTTGTTCTAGAGTCCAGCCACTCTGATAAATGGTACAGAAAGTGAATGTTTTCTCATTAGACAAAATATAGATCTTGAGTCTGCTTCATTCTGATTCATTAAGTATCTCAGTACCCTTCCTTGGCTAGCCTACGCTTTGATATTATGCTGTGAAGGCTGGAGAAGGGTCAAGTTCATGTAAAAAAGCTGATACAGTCTTCTGCAGTTGATGTGGTATTTACCATTTTAAAAGAATGTTCATTCTACTTAGCATTGCCAGTATTATCTGGGCCAGATATGGAAATTGCAGATCTGATCTAATGCTTACCAAAGCCAAGGAAACAGACTGCTGTGTATTGGATTAGGCCCTCTAATTCCATGACTAAATTGTTGGAGTCCTGTGACTATATGAAAGCCTTATCTTTTTTTAAATAATAATGGTCCTGTGAAAGGAGGGTAAAATGTCTGTGTTTAAATAATGCAGCAATGTCTGTGTGAGCCTTCAGCAGCTTGCTGGCTAGCTGTAAGAGGAAAAAGCTGCTGCATTTCTACATGAGGTGTATTCTAAAGCTCTTAGTACATTGCAGCATTACCTTCAGGTAGAAATTGGACTGTTGTCAGATCAGCGAACATCTGTTTCTGACCAGAGTGGGAGAGAAGGCTTTGTGTTCCAGTGCTGCAGATGCCTGAATGTTGTAGGGAGGGGCAGCTTGTCTGCTGTTAAGCCAGTCTGAACCTCAGAGTTCTGCAGCGCAGTGAGCCCTCTTTTAGGTGAGGTAATCTCAAATTATTTTTAGCATTACAGGCAACCCTTAAAATTTGTTTTCTAGTGGCCCTTACAGAGCAAGCTTGATACTGCAGGAAAACCAGGCTGCTGTAAGCTTGGAATTGTTTCAGTTCTCCCATCTTGCGCATCGTAATATACCTTGTGCTAAAATACCAACATGTAGCAAGGGAGAGCTTTTTTCATGCATCCCTTGGGCCAGTCAGTCTGAAAGCATTATTTTTGGTTTTTTTTTTTTTTTTTTTTTTTTTTTTTTTTTTTTTTTCAGAATGAACATTTGGAATGTTTTAAAGCCACACTACTGCAGCATTTGAATGTTTGGGACTGGCTGCATTGCAAGTCTGTTACATTATTCACATCAGTTAACCTTTCACAGCTTCAAGAGGGCTCGTTTTTCTTTCCCCACTTGTCTTCCAGCAGCAGTGCCCACTGCCATTTGTTATGCTGTTAAAAGCTGCTGTAACTTACCAACAGCGAGCTGCTCATACTTGGCCTCTTTCATGACCTGCACTACTTCTGTCTTTGTCTCCAGACGGGACATCTCCCTGAGGATCTTACAGGCTGCCAGAGCTGAAGCTACACCCTCCTGACCCTGTAGAATTGAAAGAGGTGCAGGAGTAGTCACACACTGAAGGGCATTTATGAAATAAAAAAACTTTACTGAATGCATGTAACAAATAAAATTCACGTGTCTCCTTTTGGAAGAATCTTCCTTGAAATACACACTTGAAAGTTTAAATTGTCTATAGAAATTGTAGGTTTGATATGCGAGTTGAAAACCACTTATTGGTATGTCTTGTGCTTTATAAGGCTGGTGACTTCTGGATATGCTTGACCTTAGAGGGGTCTGATTTGGGGTAGCAGTCAAGGACTTGTAGCAGAATGGGTTATGAAAGTAGAGCAAAATGCTCTCACTGCTGAGTTTCCTCCCACATGGTTGTACTGAGACCTTACATAAGGGCACATAAGAATTGAGGGGGCACAGCTGGCAGCGGCATGACAGAAGCACACAGCAGGGAATCGTGCCTTCTGATAACAGAGCTCCACAAACACAAGGCCCTCCAAGGTGCAGATGTGTCTGCATGCACACATGCACACACAACTCACTGGCTGAAGAGCTGTGCTGCTGTTTGTCTCCTTCTCTGTGACCCATCCCTCCTCCTCCCCCCCCTGCCAGATGCAGCTAGCTGGATGCTCAGACAGAGCCTCATAGCTGTGTCTGGTCTCTGTAGAGAAAAGGGAGAAGAGATGGAAGATGTAGCATTGCACGAGATGGGCCTCAGCTGTGGAAGAGTGCAAAACAGGAGCCAATTATGCCAGTTTGAAGCTTGGCCCCTGGGACTGTGATGCTCTTGTTCCTTACACAACCAGCAAATAAGCTGGAGATGCTCAACTGTGCACCATCCTCCCTCTAAAGCAAAAGCAGACAATTGACCTATTGAAGAGGGAACAAAATCCGAGGCTCAGTGGTGAGTCATCAGCTGCAAGGAAGACAAGGGGTCAGCTCTGCAGCTGAAGTTAATCAGCAGTGTTTCAGGCTGTACTGATTTACACCTGCTGTTGCTTGCTGCCAGGCCCTTTGGCCCTTGCTGGCATCAGACAATCTGAGATGAAAGGCTCTATAAATGTGCACCCAGCATTATAGGAACAAACCTACCTGTCATCTAAGCTTCAAAGCTGAGCAAAAATCATCTCATATACATGAAATATGACAATATTTCACCTGCAGGAGCTACAGCTTGATGCTTACCATAGCCCAGAAGTAGTTTGCCATCTTGTGCCGGTTTTGAAGTACTGCCCATACAAACAAATCCCTCCAAGGCTTTTCACTTTTCTGGTTCATATCCAAGGGCCCAGGTAATTGCCTTGAATTCGTTTTATCCTGAAATGTGGTTTTCAGAAATTAGAACTCAGACTCATTCCATGCAAATGACATGATGTAACTAGCCTTTGGCCCTGCCAGCCTCTTCAGTCTTTTTTTTTTCCTTCTTTTTCCTTTTCCCTGTAGGTCTGAGAGGTAATTAGTTCATTCTGCACTGAATCAAAGCATTGTTGTGTCCCTGACATAACTCAATATGTGTGAGAACGCTTTGGATGAAACCACGACTCCATTGAGGTCAATGGCAACGCTCTCATTGACTTCATTAAGGCTGGGATTTCGCTGCTGGTGTGTAATATCATATAACACAGACCTATGATTAACTAATCTAAGCTGGCCTACGTTTATATCAGATTCTGCTCAACTGCCACAGAGGCTGTGGTTTCAGAGAAAAGGGAACAAAAAGCATTTTATTTAAACAGGAATAAGTCTCGCCAAGGCTCTGTACATGGCAAGAATAGAGCACGTCAATGCCCTCTTTCTAGTCTTTCCTTTGAGTCCTTTAGAAAAAACCTCTCCTTCATGCAGGGAGTATTTTAAGTAGAACACCACTTATTCCTTTAATGTTTGATAACAACCTCTCTGGAGGAAGTATGGCAACTTAGGTCAAGTGTTGAGTTTTATGTAAATTCTAATATTGCCTTTATATCTATTGTGTTACTTAGAAGCAGGCTGTGTGACTGTTTTTGTTTCTGCTAAAAAAAAGCTTCTGTAAGGACATATGTTTTTATTCATTTATTTTTGAAATCCTTTAAACTATGGGGTTCTACTCAAATTTACATTAATGTTTTGAGTTCTTTCTTACCACCTCTTCTTCCTCCTTTTTTTTTTTCTAGTCTGTAGTAAGCTAATCAATCTACTAAATTACACTGAAAAGTAGGACTTATAATTTAGCAGCAGCAGCACTGATATCCCACTACAGTGATGTTGCCAGCATTACTCAGATTGGGCTACAGACCTTGCATGGTATATCGTGTTGTCCTTTCTGTCTTATATCAACAACTGTTCTTAATTTTTTCTGTGTTAAGTCACTCAATTATAAGATTATAACAACCTAAAAGGCAACCATCACACACAGCGCATCATTTGAATATCCAGTGTGCTCCTATGCAGTATAAATCTGAATTGTTAGGTTACCATTTTCAGAGTTTAGCTTACAAAAACAGACTGGGGACTGAAAATGGCCAACAGCTTCTTGACTTCTTCCTAGAAACTCTTTTGAGTGTTTATGCTTGAAATTCTGTATGAGAACTGCAGAATACTATTTTGATGTCTAATTACTCCTTAGCAAACCTAAACTTCTTGAATAAAAGAATGAGGAATACATTCTTATATATGTGATGCTAAAAAGATCAATCTGCTCTCCATGTGCAAAGTGCTGGAATGAGGAATGGTCTATGAAAAGTGAAGTATGTGAGTGTGGCACAAACCTTTGCAGTAGACTTGAATTGAACCTTAATTAAAACAATCCGTAGCAGAATGGGAGAAAGAGGAATTGTAGCCTGTATTTCATAAATTCCATTCTTACACTTCTTAATTTTTGAAATTAAAAAGGTCATTTTTAGCTGTAATAATAATGAGCTGGAAAAAGAAATAAGCAACAGAGGTGACTGTACCCATATCTGCCATTTTGTTCCCTGTCCCCTTAAATATAAGATCTGGTCAAAATTTTTCAAATTGTAAACTGTACAGGAACAGATAAATGATGGAAAGTTGCAACTCACTGATCTGTTCTTGCCTCCATGTCTGACATCTTGATAGAAACCTTTACAAGCATCATGGAGAAAATCCTTGAGAACTCTAGAAACTTCACTGAGAGTGAAGAGTGGGGAGATCTCCTTCTGCTGTTGACCAGTGAGCCCTGCCAATGTCAACTTGCTTTCCTCATGTTTCTTCAAGAGAAGTTCATAGAGGAGGCACTTTTGCGAAATGGAGCAGTAGAGTCTCTGCAGACGACTGTATGTCAGGAATTCGGATATGTTTGCCCCATTGTCAACGAATAACTTTACAAATTCAGGTTTGTCATTGATCAGGGCATCCATCATCACTTCTTCCAGGTCGCAGGACTAGATGGATTGAAGGAAGGAAAAGAGAAGAAAAAACAACGAAGTGGTTTTGGAGGTAATCATTGATGGATGCGGAGGGGCATAGAACTTTTTATTAGGATGTGCAGATTTTACTTTCAACCAAGTTAACAGAAGATCCGATGAGACAGAGAGGTAGAACTATGTAGGAAGTGTCTATGTGAGCATTAATGTTAGAAGATTAATGTTATCATCTAGAGAATACCAGAAAGATAACCTAAGCAAAGGGTTCTATGGCTGCCTAACCTCTTAGTGAAGAATTCAGGTAATGCTGAAAACTAAAACCTTCTGTCAAGACGTTTGTGTCCCACACCTGTTGGATTACAAAGCAATAGGCCTCAAAGGCAACAAAACCGTGTACCTTCCACTCCACGTCACCATTGAATATTTCACTTTTAGCTATGTCCACTCTATTCCAGGCCACTGCCAACTTGAGTTCATCCAGATATTCCTGGGCATCCTGACTGTGACTTTTACATGCTGGAAGAAATAGGGAATGCAAATAAACTCAGTACTTTACACTAGTTACATTTAATTTAATATACCACTGGTAATTTGGTTAATAACATGAACTCTCATTCAGTTATCACAGGTTTGTGGGTTGCTTAAATAGGAAACCTGCACAGATATTTTTTCTCTTCACTTAAACAGTAATCTAAAGGCTTATATATATATTTTTCCTCAGTATTTTCTATGGGTAAGTTATCTATTGAAACATTAAGTTAAAATATCTAGTATTTTAAGAGGAAGCCTGATCTGCAGAAAGTGGCAGGTAGGACTATTGGCTTTTTTATCTTGTTTTAATTAGCACATCAAGATTAGGATGTCATTTCTCCATGCAAAAATTAGGCTAGTCTAACACAGATTGAAATGGCTGGCAGAGCAAGTAATGTATTTCAGAAGATACAGTGAAAGCTCTTTATAGAACCTAGTTGATTCTGAGGTGATTCTGAAGTGATTTATGTCTGCTTGTGTTTTCTTTTTTCTTGGCTTGTAAGTGAAATAGCTTCCAGCATATTTCTGTTTTTCTATAGTCTTTACTACCAAGAGAAGCAAATGCTGAAATGAAAGGCTGATTTATAACAGTACTATAAAATAGCATGAGATTAAAAACCGAACACTAACTTAATGCGAGGTTCAGGAGCTTTCCTCCTGGTGGAGGTAATTACCTGGTGGTAATTGCCAGTCACTTTCTCTGATGCAACTCTGCATCAGAAATGAAATCTTATCCAGCAGCCAACTGAACTTGCTTAGGACAAAACTAAAATACATTTACGGCACAGAGAAGTCCAGTAATAGAAGTATTTATCATTCTTACCTTTTACTAAAGCTTTTAAAATGACTGTGTCTAGTTCTGAATCGTCTTGCTCAAAGTTGTGCAGAGTTAGAAGATGTTGGTGTGAAATAATGTTCTGAATCTATTGGGAGTTGGAATGAAAATCAGTTAGCATGTTAACCTACTGCTAAATGCTAGTGCTTAAGAGCTCAATATAGATCACGTGTACAGTTTTCTTCCAAAGAACTTACACTCTAAATGTAAAGCTGACGTTTGGCAAGAAGACAAACATTAGTTTCCTATGTAAAAAGATCCTAGGGCATGGAGGGAGTTGCTATCTTTTCCATCATCACATAGCATGCATGGTAGGAAGGACAGAATTTGGATATGCTGAGAACCAGAGCAGTGCTTGAACTGAAAGATCCTAAACTCTCACTGACTCATAGCCACACTGTAACAAGCACCCCACTAATTCTGCTTTACCTCTTCCTTCATTATTATTAACATTTTCTTCTCAGAGTTGTTTATATAAAGCATAGTCTCTAAAGCTTGAGTAAAAGTCATATCTAATACTGGTATAAATAGTGCTCTTCTTCTGCCTCTTTATTTGAATTTTGTTTCTCACAGTGCAGCTGCACTGGGGCTGTGTGAACATCTGGCAATGTTGCTTCTTGATGCCCTTCCATCTCCTTGTGGTATAATCTGACAAAGTTCTCCTACTGGAATTAGCATGTGGAACTTTAAAGCTAAGTTTTTTAGTGGAGACTGCAAAAAATAAGTAGTGGGTCAGGTTTTGTGAATTTCATTTCTCTTAGGGACAGGCAGTGCTTTTCCCCAGTAAGACAATGTCCAAGTGGGTTTTTTGTTTCTAAAATGCATAATGGTTCGAGTCCAGTGTGCCTCAAAATCTCCTCTGTTTTGTCTTTCCTTTTTAAGAATATGTATAACAAACAATAGACAGGATAACTTCTAAACATCCTTTGTTCTCATTAGTTTATTATGCTCACAGTAAGTTCCCCACTTAACAGCTGTAGATTGTGAATTAGGTCTCTTCTGTCACAGCTGTACAAGCTCCACAGCTGTGGAGGATAAACAGTGCTTCATGTTCCCCAGAAGGACTGTGGGGTTCTTGGGTGCTGGTTGTTACTTGTGGAAATAATTGAGAAAGGATAGAGCCCTTGGTATTCAGCTGAATCACTAGGACAAAGTCATTTATTTGATCAACTGAGCTCTTGATTTTAATGCTAGAGAGGTGTTCTGTCATTAACATCAGAGCAATGGAGTAAAAACGTTCAGGCAGTACCCCCTCAAACCTGTGCTGAAGCTAGAAACGGTTGGAGAGAGCTTGTGAACATTATGCACATAATGATCAAACACTGCATGCAGTTATCAGACATATGATCTCACTGTTGCTGTCCATTGGAGAATGTCCTTCCACAGGAAGCTTTCTGCAGGGAATTTCTCTTTAAATTGCTTTTCAACAGCTTCTGGCTTGATGAGCTGTGGCTCATCCATGAATGCAGCTAAGATGTCAGCTGCTCCTCCAGACCCTGTTAAGATAAGCCAGGGAGCGGAATTTTCCAAACCGATGCAAATCCTCTGTAGTTTAAAAAGAAAATTATTAGATTTCATGTATGGAAAGATAATCTTGCTCAAAGAGAAATCACTTACTGCAAACTAGGAATAAATGCGTATCCAAATCAGAGTTACTCTGGATTTCAGAGTCTTTTCTAGACCATCTTTTTATTTTGTAGCAGATTAATCGTTATCAGCCCATGACTATGCAAACTTTGCATGACGCAGCTGCTGATGAATTAAGCAACTGATTTGGACAGGCAGTGCATAAAACCTACCTGTCCGTGGCTCCTTTCTTTTTTCCCTTCCCAGCTCTTTTCCTACTGCAATTTGTGCTTATAATATGGTCAAATACAGGAGTAGCATAAACAGAAATTCTCAACAGGTTTTTATGGTGGCTAAACTTATCTATGTGTTCTGAAAACTGGGAGCTTGTGAGACTACAATGCTGAGCCACAGAAAAAAAAACATACTGAAGCACAACAGCAGCAAGAGCTAAAGGCTGCCAATTCTGTTGTGCAATTAGAAAGAGTCAAGACGGTTGTTGGGAGAGAGAAAAAGCAGAGGCTGTGGTAGCATAGTTGCAATAATGACTAATTGCTGCCTGTTACTTCTTACTCTGGAGTTATGCAAGATGATGAAGAAACTCTACGTGTTTCAATACCACAAACAGCAAGAGAATCAAAGGCGTTGTTGGTTTATTATTCATTTGTTTTAAAACGACTATTGTAGTCTTTGGTGTGTGTTGTCCAATTTGTCTTTAAAAGGTGGATATTAAAAATTATATATATATATATATATATATATATATATATATATATATATATATAAAAGGAAGTGCAATTGGTTATTCTTTCCTAGCACATATGTGAATGTACAGCAGGTCCAACCAGTCACCTTTGGTTCTCCAAGTCACTTTGTTCTCTAGAGCTTTGAAAAGATGTATTGGTTCTGATGTGACTTTTCAATACCTGAGATGTAGAAGATGCTGCCATATTTAGCTTTGAGAATGAAAGCTCAAGAAGCGACACTGCAATTCAACCAGTGAGATTTCTAATACCAGAGCGTGTTTTAATCTATGTGACAAAGATGTGATGAGATGCAGTGACTGGAAACTGTGACTAAAAAACGTCACTGGAAATGAGCTGTTATTCTTAAAGAAGAAATGTGTTACAGAACCTGGTAAACATCTCATCGTTTGTAACGTTTAAACAATGGTTAAATGTCTCTTTGGATATTCAGTAGAGTATGCATCCTCATGCAAGAGTATTATATAAGAAATACAAAGCTGTGTGGACATTGACTGCTACAAAGCAGCAGATTAAAATATTTTAAAAAGAAAAACAGAAGTCAGAGAGTGCCTCCTAGCCAACAAGTTCTGTATGTTATGGAAGTGCTCAAATAAAATCATAGCTGATTTTTCACTGAAGGTGACGTGAATGTCAGCAGGCAACCATCCAGCCTTCTGTCATACAAAGTGTTTTTTGCTCAGGGGAAGTAGGGCACTATAATTTGTAAGCTGCATATCTAGCAAACCTGGCCTTGTATCTCTTTGGTGCTCTGTGACAGTGGCAATCATCTCTCTCTTGCTGAACAGCACTGAATTAAGGCTTTTGTATGTCATCTAAGTACTAGTACAGTGCTTCTATGCTGCTAGATTTGAAGCTAATTTCTGAGAATTTGTTTTTGATTGATCTGAGAATTTGATTTTGGGTTTCCCACTGTACTAGCTGGCAAGAAGCCCTAATGATCTGCTGGCACCTGCTCAAAATGAGGTACTTCTCCTAAACAAGTACTGTTAAATTTACTATTAACAGAATTCAGTTATTATGTGGTGTATTGCTCTAAGTTTTGAATTTATGTAAAGTACCAGTATGTGTATTTACCATCCAACCAAATTTTCCCCTGCCTCTTACCTCAAGAGTGCCTGGTTTTCCATTTACCAGTAAGCAGAGCACAGGGATCTCAATGCTGCCTGTTCCTGTGAAATAGGTGATTTAATTTAAGACAAACAAGCAAAGAGCTTTCACAAGACTATTGTGTTTCTGCTCTTCCCTTGAAAAACTTCTTCTGTTTTGTCATGATTCAGTACGTGCAAAAACTCAAGCCTGCAGACTGCAGGAGAGTGCAGAACAAAGTGTTGGAGGGGTAATGGTGCTGCCTTAGGTTACAAGACAAGGTTAAGTTTTTAGAGAGAGTCAGCTGACATTACTTATATTCATATGCAGTTAGAATTGATGAGATGTCACTTCATCCCATTTGTTGAGGAATGCTGCCCCATTCCTTTTGTGCATGGAACCTAGCACCAGCAGACAAATCATAGAATCATAGAATGGCCTGGATTGAAAAGGACCACAATGATCATCCAGTTCCAACCCCCTGCTGTGTGCAGGGTCGCCAACCAGCAGACCAGGCTGCCCAGAGCCACATCCAGCCTGGCCTTGAATGCCTCCAGGGATGGGGCATCCACAGCCTCCTTGGGCAACCTGTTCCAGTGCCTCTGCATGAAAAACTTCCCCCTAATATCTAACCTAAACCTCCCCTGTCTCAGTTTAAAATCATTCCCCCTTGCAGTGGAAACACACAAAGAGGACTAAATACCAAGAGGCAGACTGTGCAGACTAGTCAGGGTTCTTCATTATTCTGCTTAAACAACCTAAAATATCATTTGAAACTGCCTAATGTTTTGACTATCAATAACATAATATTACATTTTTAGCAGTGCTGAATTCAAAAGAAATTCCAGTGAAATATCTGAATTATTGAATTGAATATTTGATTTCTATCATGGCCACAGGGGAAGAAATGACATAGGCCTCCCTGTCCTTACCTATCCTCACAGGTTTCAGCTATGTAAATACTGAATTCAGCATTCAACAAATGACTGTAGAATGGCCTTCAAAAGGTTTTGTCAAAACAGTAGCATTGTGAAATGAAAGCCTCTTACAGGTGGAAGATGAGAGGCTTTTGGTTCAAACTATTTTTTGATGTTTCCCAAACTGTGTATGGATCACCAGTTACTGCAGGTTGTAACGTCTGTAGTGGGTTGCCTACGAAGATAAAGTAGAACTGAGAATGGCATGGAATTGTTATACCTCTTTAAGGTGTTGTTCTAGGTTGAATAGTGACCCCTGCGACTACAGGATCCTCAGGAAACACTTGTGGTTTCAAATCTTTTTCACTTAAAGTAGATGTAGATTAAATTTAGCCTTTTTGTGTGTGTGGTGATGGAGAAATTCTAATGTTATACTGGGGAAGGTGGGAAGTTCTTAAGTGCAAAGAATATTCCAAATACTAAAGCTTCCTGCTTAACTAAGTGTAGATATTTTTAATAGAGAATTATGCATGATCTTGGAGTGTTTTAGTTTAGTAAAGTCGAAGTTTGCTGAAGTTGAGTATAAATGAACTTCAGTGAATGATACTGGTTTTGTTTATTGAAGATCTCACTGCACTTCCACTGTTCTAGGGAAATATTTGTCAAATGAATCAGCATTTTTTGACAGGAAATTGTTCCACTGAGATTTGTTCAATCAAATTTGGTCTGCAAGTAGAAAGAGGCTACTTTCTAACTGTCAGCACTGATACCTCACCCTACCATTACAGTCCATGTGTGCTTTATCCCATCTGAGTGACCAGATTTGCTCTCTTTGGGTGCATTCACAGAGGTACAACTATAGGCTGTGTAATTGAATATTCCATTGGTGCACAGAAATGTGAATAAGTGATCTTTCTCTTCTGTTTTAGCACTGTAGGTATTATAGAAACAAAGAAAAGGGGAAAGTAATCATCTTAGAACTGAACTGAAGTATTTCCACAAGTAGCAGAAGGAGGCCTGTCCCCGTACTCATTTCTCATTTTAAACAAAGCTCACATAGGTTTAGATGAGCGTTGGATATATATTGTTTACCCAGGATAAGATACTGATAATAATATGGTTTAAAATTTTTCAGGGGGCTTTGATCAGCTCTTTTTGGCCAGAGTGGAATCAGCTCAAGATCCTGTGTGTGAAAAGGGAGGAAAGTGTACAACAGTGAACATCCATTTCTTAGAGCTGCTGGTTTAGGGCACTTAAAAGAGGGTTTATTTTCCATCTATTGTCTTTTAAGGCAACTTAGGCTGTGCTTTGAAGGTCAGCTTTGAGTTATATTTAAGGAGGTGCAATAAATATCAGTATTTCTGCTTCACAGAGCAGCTTGTTTTTTGTTTTTTGTTTTTTTGTTTTTTTTCTTTCAACCTAAGTAAGCTTAATTCTGCCTCTTGCACAGTGACAACTGCGTTTACTTGATCTTGCCCATGCAGATGATAAACTGAGAACTTGACTTGCCTTTGATAAAGACAGAACCACGGGTATCCCTGTAACATCACTGTTGCTCAAGCTAGCATGCTTCTCTTGTCTACTTACCACCATACCCAGTACGCTGTTCTGAAATGTGCTTTTCCAAGGTGAGCCGTAGCTTAGTGGTCTCATCTGGCTCATCTGGTGTTACATGATCTACCAAAATAAAATGGGAGTGATTGTGGTCCAGTGAATACAGTGGGCCTTGGGCATTATCATCTGATTGGTAGTGTACAAGACTTCCATCCTAGAGGTAAGAGGAGAGATGTTAATGTTCTATATGAAGCACAGCATGTTTCCGTGTGTTTTATCTCCATTTTTCATGTTGTCAATGCCTTGCAGTATAGCATCGTCTTTCAGTCTTGAATAACATCCATAAAAAGGATGCTGAAGAAGAAAATGCTCCTTCTGAAAGGTGCCAGATTTGATAGAACTGAAAGCTGAAGTTCCTGAAGCTTTTCTCTCAAGCTTTACAAAATATGCTGATATGAATCATCATCTCTGAATCACAGGTATTCATTTTGGTGTTTTGGAAGTGTTAGTTAGGCAGGTGAAAGGGGCAATGAGACTTGATAACTGTGAATGAAGCCTTACTGTTTCAGAGGGCTAAAGTCTCTGCTGGTGCAAGCAGGCTAACTTGCTCGTTTCAGTAGTGTTTTTGCCATGTGCATACCAGTATATAAGTTAGCTTGCTACTCGTCCACATCAAATGAAATGCAGCTTGGGTTTAATTGACAAGATTATATGAGATCTAATGGCAATTCATAACTTGGAAGCCTTATTCTAAGAAGTGAGTGACAGGTAGATTTTAGGAGGTGTAATCTATTTATTTTGGGCAGGAGGTGTCACTGAAATTATTTATTAATGAATTTTTATATTAAATAACTGTCTAGCTAAACCAGAACCCCTGTTTCAGCCTCCTATTGTAAGGATTGCACAAATCACAGACAGCCATCCGTGCTCTTTCAAGCTCTCCTTCCATAAATATACCCCTTCTTTTCCACTGCTGCACTTTCATTTGATATATCATTTCTAGCTGCAAGCCAGGCTGTGTATGCCTCATTATTTTTCTTTTTCCTCTTCATAACCACTGTTCTGTTGCAAGTCAGCCAGATCACTGCTGTGGTTTAAAAGCTGCCTTATCTTTCACTTCTTCCCCAGTTCCTACAGCCTTTGAGTTGATGAGCAAAATATCAGCTTAGCCTATCGCTTTATTCCTCCAGCTAATTTTGTGTGTACAGATGGTGCCCATCTAGGTATAGCATAATGTAATTATGCAAGTTACTTAGTTGTTACTAAGGTGTGGTAAAGAGATTTACATTGTTTTTAAGAGCCAGATATTATGTGGAACCCTTGTGAATCTCAGCTTTTGTTGTAGTCTGTTGGAAAAAGCAGGTGCCCAAGCTGAATCCTGGGGGAAATTCAAGCTAGGAGCTGTTCAGGTTCTCCTCCACAGCCAAGGCGATGGCTGATGTTGGAGAAGCAGTGAGCTTACTACCAGGAGCTTGTAGCAACTTTACTAATTCTTTAAATACGTAAAGGAATTTGGAGAACAAGCTCTTAAATGCTGCTGATAGAAGTGCTGAGCATACTCCATGCCATTCTGCAAAGCGGCTTTCTGAAACAAAGCTGTATAAGGTCAAACTGCAGAAGTGAAATATCCTCCAAAGGTCAAAAGAGTTGTAATAAGATGTGTTCCTATGGCTTCTTTCCTTCTCAGCAGCTCTGGGAAGAGTCAGAACATTGGAGGCTGTTCCAGAGGAAAAAAAACCAGTAAACTTGCACGTTCCAGTGTCACAAGTTTTTCTGGCCGCCTCCTCTCACTCCACATCTCTCATTTGTTGGGGAAAGTTATATTAAAACAGTTCATTTGTCTTTAAATTTTGCTTTGATGGAGGGTGTGCCTGTGTTCTGCTGCCATGTAACTTTAGACCTGCTCACCAGAGATTTGCCCTTAGATTAGGACCGTGAGGTGTAGCAACTAACTGGAAAAGGCTCTCAGGGATTTTCCTGTATATTCCCTGAAAACCTGGAAGTGATCACTCAAGGATATTTAAAGCATGCCAGTAAAAGAAACAAGGAAGAGATCAATTGATTTCAGGGCTTGCAAGTGTGTGTTGTTAGCTCTACTTTATACAACAAGCTGTTTGTGCTAATAGCAAGTATAAGGTGAACTGGGTTTAGATCAACATCCTTGTCTGTAGTTCTTTTGTTTTAAAGTAACTGACTAAAATCTAGAATGTCTTTTGGTAGATGTAGTGCCAGAAGTCAGCGGGTCAAGAATGTTCTACAAGTATTCTTTGACAAAGAACTTGGGCTCTGATCAAGAAGGAGAAAATCTAATTCAGTAAGAGTGCACTTGTTTTGGAGCTGTTGTTTGGGATGGATTGAGATGTCTTGTGATTGCTTAGCCCAGGAGGGAGGTGCAACAGTTGGTTTACTCTTGCTGAGGGAACTTTCCTGAAGAAAATTCCCTACTGTGATGAACCAAATTCTTTCCTCTGAACCACTCAAATAGGTTGATGTCTTCCAACTGGAGAGTCTCATCTGACAGAGCACACAGCTTGGCAAAAGGTGTGGATGGGAGGGAACCCAGTGACAATAAAATGGCAATACAATCTGGCAGCCTCTCCCTGCTCATAGCAGTATTTGACTGCTGTCTATCTGATAAAGAACTAGATACAAGTTCAAAGAGTTGTCTTTGTCATTTGCTTATCAGATTCTGCAGTAAAATAGTACATACAGATTGCCATTAATTGTCGCCACATACCTGCATTACTCTTACAACAGTTTGCTTAGGACAGACAGAATACACCGTGACAAGAATGTCATTAATTGTCTTCTCCACTCCCAGGTCAATTCAGCATTTCAATTCAGTCTTGGCATTTGCAATAACTGATGCATAAACTTCCATTGCTTTGACCTGAACTGTGGAGAGCCTAAAATTCATGCAGACTAGACCAAATCCTGCATGTGTAGCATTTGTTAGACACCAATTCAGTGTCATGTTTAGGAGAACTCGATATTGAAATATTTATGGTTTCATTTGATACTAAGATATAGGGTACTTCTGAAATAGTTTGGAATTCTGCAGTAGGACAGGGTAAAAAAAAAAAAAAAAAGTGTTGAAGGTATCCTGTGATGTGTTGTTTTTCCTTAAGTTCCCTTTTACCCAGATACTGAGCTCATGTCCAATGCTGTCACCTGCTGGATATTTGAAGAACAGATGCCAGATATACTTTGCAGGGCACGGAATCATTGGGTTCTAACGACTTTCCCTGCTTTTTGCCTCTGTCTTCCCCTAAAGCACACATTGAACTCCATTTCTGTTTTCAAGGTAGCTCAATCTGTTCTCTATTACTTTAACAGTTTGTGAACTTGGAGATCACTTCTGAACAATCCTGTCTTGCAAGTAGAATAAGGGGAAAAAATACCTTTGTGTTGTCCAGAATTTCTCTGTGCTGAATTTTTCCAAGGGAAGCAATTCCTATGGTGATGACTCTTACTTTGGATGATGTACTAGCCAAGGCATGATCTCGGACTGCTTGCACCAAGTGCCTTGTTATTCCAACACGTAAAGCGCTGGTAAAAATCCAGGCATCTGAAATTATGTTTTTTGAATTGTTAGATACTTTCTTTATAGTTGAACATTTGTGTGCTTAGTAACATTATTTTAAGTATCGGATTGAAGTGTTGTTTAGATAGTCAGGTTACCTGCAGACAAATCATCACAGAATCATAGAATGGCCTGGGTTGAAAAGGACCACAGTGACCATCCAATTCCAACCCCCTGCTATGTGCAGGGTCACCAACCAGCAGACCAGGCTGCCCAGAGCCACATCCAGCCTGGCCTTGAATGTTGATGGGGCATCCACAGCCTCCTTGGGCAACCTGTTCCAGTGCCTCTGCGTGAAAAACTTCCTCCTAATATCTAACCTAAACCTCCCCTGTCTCAGCTTAAAACCATTCCCCCTTGTCCTATCTCTATCCACCCTCATAAACAGTCTTTCCCCCCTCCTGTGGACATACTCCCTTCAAATACTGATAATCTTAATAGACTGTAACATTTAGAATTTAAAAATGTATACTGAATGCAAGCTTTTAATAGAGAAAGTAAGAAATCATGTGCCCAAGCAGACATGCTTTATATACCATGCAGTACAACCTTGTTGTCTTTGCTGTGCTGTCAACGCACCCTTCTCAATTTCTAGACTGGACTCAATGTCTGAAAGCAAGTAGAAACATTACTACACCAGGCAGGCCTGGTTGTTAACAGAACACTTTCAAAAATGTAACACAAAAGACCTGGAAATCTTAAAGCTATGTAATCTTAAGTATGGAAATCAGCTGGATGTAAAAGCAAAGAAAACTGTCTGGAACCAAAGTGCCAAAAAAAAAAAAAAAAAAAAGGTTTGATAGTTGACTCTTTCAATACAGAATCCAAAGCTGTTTAAATCTTGTCTGACCCAGTGAGCTGAAACCAAAAGCTGTGAAGCAATCATGCGAGTAGGGCCAGTGACTCTAGAAGATCACTAGATGTGAGAATCCAGCAGGAGTGTAAATTCTTCCTTTAATGTGTAAACTACTAACCTGTGCTTTGGGCTGCCTTAATGAGTCCTTTTTTTAACGTGTCCCGCAACCAAGGCTTCATCTGGAAATTTTCATCTTCCCCTACTAAAGAGACAACCAAATTGGGAGCCGGTAGCTTCCATTTGTTGAGCATAACTTCAAATATAACTCCAGGGTGAATGGTGCACGGGACCTTAATAAACTTGAGTAGAAACAAAACAAACAAACAAACAAGTGAAAAAAATAAACCCTGAGTAATAACAGCACAGTATGATACAGTAAATGTAAAGGCAAATGTGCCATAACAATTAAATGGTTATTAGCACCCCTTGATTATTTGAGCAAGACCTGACAGAGAAGAAATACTAGAATGAATTTAACAGGCTTCTGTGAAATTCATAAATAGTAAATATTCATAAATAATTCACAAATAAATTCAAAACAATCTCATTAATCATGTCAGCTCTGTGGGTTTGTTCTGCACTATGAACTCATAAATTGCTCTCTCCTTTAATGCTGCTATTCTTCTTTAATTGCCTTCAGTTTCATGGCAGTTTAGCAAAGCCAAGAAATCTCTTAGGCATTTCTTGTTACTGAGGTAGCCGAAATGTTTGCCTGATTTCATGTCTGTTTTTCAAGTGTCCACATCCTCCTCATTTTCAATTGAGTTTTCTTGGCCTTTGTTCAGGTTAGGTTTCCATTTGGCAAAGTAAATGCTGTTTACTGTTGGATTACCAGTGAGCATTGTGCTTAGACTTCACAATGAAATGAAACCTTAAGTCTGTTAAGGTTGAGTTCTGATCCTAGGAATTCCTTCTGCTTGGGAGGGAGCAGATGAAAGAGAGCAGTGAGGAAGAGGGTCTGTCTGTGTACAGCTTTCTTTATGTATTAGCAGGAAAGGGAGAGAGAACTTTGAGAGCCTTGAAACAGCTCAGCAGTTTAAATCCATAGTGATTAACTATTTGGAAGAAAGTGATTACAACAGGGAAATAATGCAAAATGAAGGACACGTGATTTTATTTATTTATTCATTTTTAAAGTGGAAAACAGATGAGCAACTGTAACTGTAGCAGGTCTGTGCAGGGCAAGTGATTGATTTCTCTTTGTTAATAGGTGTCATTTAAAATTACAGTGCTGTTTATAAAGGTTTGGTCTCTACTTTGGTTAGAATGTGGTGCCTAGCACTCTAGTACACTCATCTTCAATTTCATAATCTCTATATTAACAGCTGAACAATAGCAATAGTGCCACAAGCTTGAGACTCCTTATTGCTGTACCTTTCCACGTTTCTTCCCAGAAGCTGTGAAGTCAATTTCTCCCATGCAGTATGGCAGTTCTGTTTTGAACGTTTCTTCTTTGTCACTGCTGCAGTACTTGGTTTCCATCTTCTACATTCAGTTTCTCAGGTGATCACCAGGCTATTCACTGAAATGATGGTGAGACTGGAAAAGGAGAAGTGCATTAAACGTGGAGAGGCCACAGAATCCACAAATTTACATCTAATTGAGTTTTTAGCTAAATATTTTTCTGTTTCAGTATTATGATTGTACAGCCTGGCTAAAACTGCAGATGTTTATGTTGGATGTGTGAGCAGAGGGAGGGAGATTCCATAACGCAGCTTTGTAACTTAGGTTATAGAAAGGCATGAAAGAATAAAGCAACTGGAGTATCGTTTAGCTGGTAGAAATCTGAATTATGAAGTACAAGATCCCACAGTCTGTCCAAAGCCATGTGGAGTGTTTTAGAGCCCAAGAGATAAACCTAACTCTAAAAGAGAGAAAGAGATACCTTGACCATAACTATTGCAAGCAAAGGCTGAGCTGTGTCAGTGGGTGTCTGAATAATGCTGTCTTTCTGTTGTTCTGCACCATGCTAGTATAATTTTATCCAACACAAATATAAAATAACCAATTGATGGCATTGTCTTCACCTGAAGATCATAGGATCATGGAATGGTTTGAGCTGGGAGGGACCTTTAAGACCATCTAGTTCCAAACCCTGTGATACAGTTAGGGACATCTCCCACTAGACCAGGCTGCTCAAAGCTTCATCCAGCCTGGCCTTGTGAGGGGAGGTTTGCTCTCTATTTTCTCCTGGAATAGGATATTTATTCATAAGCCAAAATATGTAAGACTAGATTTTACTTAACGTACTGTTCAAAAAGTGACGTGGTTTTCTTTGTATGTGGCTACAGGAATGTTGGCAAGTAATCCATCCTAAAGCAAAGGTCGTACAGTAAGAGCTGCTGTTCTCTTTTACATTACTGGAAGAAGTATGGTTGCTTTCCAGCTGCACTGGGCTGGTATAACCATAATTTGAAAAGAATATGTACAACTTGTATGCTTTATTTTGTTTCTCTTCAGTGCAAAAACAATGAAAACGAAAGATCTCTGCCCTGTCCCCACATCTCCATACTCAGTACATTCTTAAAAAATTCCACGTGATAGCGAGCCAGAAATGGTAACCAACCCTGCATTAATCAGACCATCTTCATAAAAATCCTAATTTCAGTGGACTTAAAAGTGGGTTAAACTAGCAAGTCCCATGTGGTTCCATTAGGATGCTCCAGCAGAGGGAGCAAGCCCTCCAGCTGTTTCCTATGGGGAAAGCTTGTATTTGAACTGCTTTAATACCGCTGTCTCTTTATTTCTTCTCCTTTACATTTCCCATGAAAACGTTGTTAAGAGTTGCCTTGTTCTCAGATTTTCCTTTGAAAATTTTAAGGACAGTTTTCCTTATAAGCTATTCCACGCTTCCCTTCCTCCCCTTAACTTCAGACTTAGATCAGTGCTTTAAAGATACTGCTCTTCTTCTCTCTGACAGCTCAGAAGTCACGTTTTGAGAGAAGTGTTTATTTCTAATTCCAGGATATCAGACTGTGGCAGGTTAGAGTCTTACCAGGAAGACCTTATTTCAGGTAATCAGTAACAGATATTGCCACAAAGCCTACCTGCTTGTTTGAGCACACTTGGCCACGGGAGACGTGGCTTTATCTCCTAAGACCATGGAAGACAGTATTCTAAGGGGGGAAAAATAGTAAATACAGAGCCATACACAACAGATTTTAGCTATTTTGAAGTATAGAAGTATTACTTCCTGGAAGTTGCTGACAAAACAAAGGATTTGATTAGAAAAAGGTACTTAGGGCTGAATTCCCAGGGTACATTTAGTCACCATTCATCACTGTTCTATGTAGTGTTTATTTGTAACTGCACACGGGCAATGACCTCAGAATAGACAGCAATATAGTAAGTCATCTGACCGTTAATTTGCTCTCATGGAAAGGCCTCAGGTGGTTAATGTTATGTCTAATTTCAGATCCTAACTTGTAAAATTTGATCGTGAGGTTATATTTGACACCTCTTTTGGAACAAAGGCATGGAATTACGAGACTTGTGCAGGATCTTCTGGTATTTGGACAATTCATTTTTGCAGTTCTTTGTTTTTTAGTTCAGCAACTCTGGCTCTGGATGGTAGCAAAAAATGGTGAAAGAGACAAAAGTGGATTAAGGTGCAGAAGTTTTGTTCATAAGCCAGCTGGTATCTGGCACTGCACAGGGCATGCTTTTCTCTCTCTCTTTTTTTGTTTAAATTTAGTTTTTAATTGAATAATCTTCAAACCATGATGCTAGAGATTGAGCGTGTATTTTGGTGGAAGCATTATGTCATGTTTCCATCCTGTTCTTGTGTCCAGTCCTTCAGCACCCCTGCCAAGCCGCTGTCTGTGGTGGGATACAGAGCTAAATGGAATTTGATATCTTGTACAGCTGTTCTTGTATTCATAACCTAAGCCAGAAAGACATCCTGCATTAAGAGAAGCAGGAAAGTGGTACTGACAGAACAGCAGAACAAGTCCCCAAGCTGTACAGGATTCTGAATGCCATCCATACAATAACTTAGTATGGCCCTACATGGAGCTGAGAAATGACACTGGATGAGGTCATGAACTGTTGTTTGGGTGCAGTTTAGCAAGTTTCTGCATGCAGCCTTCAGGAACTTTTACAGACAAAGCCAAGAAGCAAAGCCAAGTATCTTTTTGTTTTCAACAAGTTTTGACACATTGACATTTCTATTTTCTTTCTCTTCTACCTGTTGTTTAGCTTGCAAGGAGTAAATACTGGGCTTTTCAGTGTGATGCCATATTGTACACGTGTAAATGTTCCGTGTTGTTGCAGTGTTCTAGCTAATCGTACTAATGGAGTAAGGAAATTTTGCTACCTGGAAGTGTGGGGGAGAAGACTTTAAAGGCAATTCTATAGATAATGTGCAAGTGAAAGAACCAGGGGTTCCTTAGATTATGAATACTGCAAAATCAGGACATCACCAGCTGCATAAGATTTGCAGCTGTGATTCCTGAACCTGAAAGCTGATCCACAATAAAAGTTGACTTGCCTTTCCATACATCTGTATCAGCTCTTGCAATGTAATCCCTCACTATGATGGTCAGAACCATAGAATAGTTGTTCAGTACTGCACACCTCCTCACTTTGCACTTCAGTGAAGCTCCACTGTATACCAATCAGTCAGCACACGGACATCTTTTTTCCCTCATTTTTGAATATATATATTCAGAACATAACGTAGCTCTGACATTTCCTCCTGGATTGTTAAAATTTCTGGTTTTCTGTTGATATTTCCTACTTTAAAATGCAGGCATGTTGCCCAACACCTTCTAACAGGAGAAGTGGCATTAGGTGTGCATTGGCAAGCTGTGTTACAAGTTTTTTATTCTTTCTTGTGTTGAATTCTGTCTTATTCTGTTTAATTCTGGCTTTCACTTAAGTCTCTCCAGTGGTTTCAAGGGCTGTTCTTTGAGACTTGAGGCTGTACTGGATTGCAAATGTCAGGTCACAGCAATTGGGTCAAATCTTTGAGGTCAAACTCATGACGTTACACTGAAGTCAGCCTAAGTGAGGATGTTGCATCATTGCAACATCACAGAGCGTCGTTTAATTGTAAGGGTCTGGAATATATCATGCCTTGGGAAAGATTAAGCAGATAGCCACTAAGAGGAACGCAGTTCAAGTACTTTTGAATGATAGGGAAGGTAAAGAAGGAAGCAAAAAAGAGATAATTAAAAGCACAGCTGGGTGAAAAATCAGTGAGCAGTACTTCAGTGTTTTTTCATTCTCTGAATATTTCTTCCTATTGTAAGTTGGTTTTGTTTTCTTTTGTAAAGAAAATTCCATATGTTGCTTTTATTCAAAATTTCATTTCATTTTTTTGTCCTTTGTTATTTATAAAAATACCATTGTGTTAAATCTGATGAAAAGATTCTTGAAGACAGGCAGTTGGAAACAGCTAAGGAGTGGAAGAATGCTGTAAGAATCTTGCCTGCTACAATCTGTGCGTTCATATTTTAAATATATCCTCTGTTCATATGTATATATATTGAGCAGTCTTACTTTAATTCTGGTTCAGGCTTAGGTACAGATTTTCTATCTAGGCTGCTGCTGGATATTTAAGTTTGTAGGTCAAATTCTGTCCTAGATGTTCCCACTGACTGTAAGTACAAAACATCTATGAAAAGAATGTACCTCTAATGACTATCAGATTTGAAATATAACCTAGAAAACTATTTCTAACTAGCAAAGCAAGTTAAGACAATTATGAAAAGACAATTGCCAGTTCCACCTGCAACTGGAAATGTGAGTCAATGTCATTTACGTTCGGGATGGCCTGCTTAAATCATTCTGGGTGTCTGCCAGTCTCATGAATCATTATTTCTTTAACCTCATAAATGGGAGCTGTTAGAATTGTGCCATTGTACAGTGAGTGCTTGTAACACTGAAATTTGCATGTCCCTAGCGCTCTTTTGTCCTTCATTCCGGGCAGTAATATATTCTTATTTAGGCATTCCAGGTTTCTGGGTTGTAGGAAATTAGCAGATAGGTAAAGCATTAAGGGGATAATTGTTGTCATTTCAGGGAATCTCTGTAAGGCAGATCCCTATTGAGATTCTTCCAAAGAACATCCATCCCTTTCTGGACTATTCTGTCTCCTGCCCCTGTCTCCCTGTTGGTGCCTCTGCCATGTCTTCTCTCCTGCCAACCTCCTTCTCTCCTGCCACTTCTCTCCACTTCTCCACAGCTTTCCAGAGATTCTTGCTAATCACTGTCACTGCTACTTAGCCCACTCCGAATGTGCAGCTCTTCTTCCTTGTGTGGTAACAAGGGCAGAGGTCACTCACCTCCCATTGGGTGATTAGAATGCCGGTCTCTGTCATCATTCCATTTCAGTGCTTTTTAGACATTAATGAGTGTTCTGGATTGTGTTCATAATGTGAACAGAGGTCAAAACTGAGCCTTTCAAACATATCTTGTGAAAATGGACCTGGTCGAGGCATAACTTGACCTCAGTTAATGGCTTCAAGTGTAATGGTTGATTAAGAGAA